TGTAATATAAGTGGGATTGATGACTGGTTGCGGAAGACTGGGTTACTGTAGAAGATCACCTTTCTGTCTTTATTACTGAGCTACCAGTCCCGGACTGTCTTGTCGCCTGGACTGCTTACATGTAACTGCCTCTCGCATGCCCTGCTCACGCGTACCCACGCATACATACGTTCGCTCACTCACTCATACGCGTACTCATGCGTCCTCTCCTACGTTCGCTATTTACATACATTACAACTCCCCTCTTTTTAGTTTGACTGTTGTACGTTGTTAGCTAATCTTGGCGATCGTCGCACCGCACCTGGCATGTTACCGTCTATGCGTTTACGCTTCACTTTCTCCTTTGAAGCACTGACACTTGAGTTTGCACTCTTACACTTTTTGCTGTGGAGATTCACAGAATCTTCTCGCTCATTGCTAATACTATTGTCATATGCATAGTTGTTGCCAAGCGCCTCCGATTCCCCTCTATCTAGTTGAGGCTTTAACGCCGTACGAACAATTTGGTTCACGTGTCTTTTGGTTATAAAACCATCTGCAAACTTGACAGTATACATTGCTGGTGAACTTTGTGTGACTGTAATTGCTCGTGCGTTTTCGGGTGTGTCCTTACGATAATCTCTTGCATATACGATGTCGCCTACGAGAAATTCTATATGCCTATTTCCGTGTGTAAAGCGGTGTTGATCGAATTGATGTGCTTCTACGGTGTGGCGTGTATCGCCCACGATTAGGTCGAATCTAGTCTTTAATTTACGCTTATACATTAATTGCGCTGGCGATACTCCTGTTGAACAATGAGGAGTATTACGGTAATCTGCTAAAAATCTGTTTAGAGAAAATTCTAAAGAATGACCATCTTTCATGATCTTTTTTACTTTATCCTTGAATGTTTTGACAAAGTTTTCCGCTGCGCCGTTGGTGGCTGGGTAAAAGGGTGCGGAAAAAGTATGTTTGATTCTGAATTTTCTCAAATAAGATGCAAACTCGTTACTAGTGAACTGGGTTCCATTATCACTAACGATGTGATCTGGATATCCTTTATTGGCAAAAATTGAGTCTATTTCTTTAATCAGATTTTTTGCAGTCGTGTCGTTTTTCATATTGACCACGATTGGCCACTTGGAATGTGCGTCAATTGCAATTAAAAACATGCTATCATTAAATTTCGCAAAGTCCATGTGAATTCGGGACCACGGCTGACTGGGCCATAACCATGTGGTTAATGGAGTTTTGGTTGGGTATGGTCTTGACTCAAGACAATTCGAACAAGAATTCGCTAAATTCTCTATATCTACGTCTATGTTTGGCCACCAAAAGTAGTTTCGAGCAATGTGTTTCATTTTAACTATTCCTAGATGAGATGAATGTATCGCCTGCAGTATTTTATTTTGCAAAATTTCTGGGATCACGATTCTATGTCCCCAAGATAAACAACCATTTTCGTAACTTAATTCGTGACGTTTGGTATAGAAAGTTTTTTCAATTTCCGATAGTTCGGTAGTTTTAGGCCAATCCGCCTGGGTATATGAGATGATTTTTCTCAACGTTTTATCGTTACCTAGCGCCCGCTTTACGGCTTGAAAATCTACCATTGGGCACTCTTCTTCTACATAATTTATATGAGTATATTCAGTTTCGAAAACTAAGGTACTATCGTCTATAGGCAATCTTGATAGTGCATCGCAATTACCGTTCGCTTTTGATTTTACTATTTCGACTTTATATTTATATCCGGATAGGAAATATGCCCATCTTTGTAGACGACTGTGTAACATCGTTGAGATGTTTTTACTTCCAAAAATAAATTTTAAAGGTTCGTGATCGGTTTTTAAAATTATCTCATTTCCATATATATATTGATAGAATTTTTTGAAGCCGAACATAATAGCACCTGCCTCTTTATCTATTATGGCCCGATGCCTTTCTACTTTCGGAATGATTTTAGACGCGAACGCGATCGGTCGTTCCTCACCGTTTGCGTATCTATGTGAAAGGATTGCTGACAACCCGTGGTTACTCGCGTCACAAGCTAATACTAGTTGTTCGTTCGGATCGAATAAGGCTAATACGTTATCCGACGTTATTTGATTAATTTCTGCTCATCACGTAGTTTTCGTAGGATTTTACGTAAATCGTCCAATGAGCATACTTTCACAATAGACTCGCTGGATGATCTTGCTAGGAGTTCCGCTGCTTGATCCTTCCTCAGCGATGAAATAGGTAATGTTGCTAAGTCAACTGTTTCCATTGAATAGTATGTAAGCGTATGGTCCGCTCATGTCCGCACGCGACTATTTCGCCTACGAGCGTGAGAGAGACGGACTGACTAGGACCCGCTATGATGCTTGCCGTCGTGCGTGGCCCGTGTGCGTGGCGCACGTGCCTGCCTCGTGCTCCGTGCGGTACCACTAATGGCCGCCGCGTACGTCCCGTTCTTGGGCTACACGCTATGCCCGTGTGCTGCTTGCACTCATGATATACTGCTTACTACTTACAGCTTTGCTTTTTTCTTCCAGTCGCCCAGTTGAGCTACTTTGATGTGGCTCTGGTGCACAGCTCCGTAGCTGCAGTCTCGTCGACTTGATTCGTTTCTCTCGAAGCCGCTAGCCCTTTGTGTCAGGCTGTGCTGCGCGTTTTTGGACGTCGACTCGCTCGTCGCGTGTGTGGCTCTCGACACTCGCTTTTCGCCTGCACTTCCCGATTTATCCTCGTCGCCAATGTAATATAAGTGGGATTGATGACTGGTTGCGGGAGACTGGGTTACTGTAGAAGATCACCTTTCTGTCTTTATTACTGAACTACCAGTCCCGGACTGTCTTGTCGCCTGGACTGCTTACATGTAACTGCCTCTCGCATGCCCTGCTCACGCGTACTCACGCATACATACGTTCGCTCACTCACTCATACGCGTACTCATGCGTCCTCTCCTACGTTCGCTATTTACATACATTACAACCGGCTTGCCCCTTTACCGGGGGGCCGGGGGCAGCCGCCTTAGGGGCTCCCTTAGCCGCTCTCTTCTCCGCGGCTCTGGCTCTCCTCCCCAACACCGTCGCGAAAGTCTCGACGTCCGCGGCGGGTTGGGAGGGGCCGGCGTTTCCCTTCTT